CAACCAAGGTACATGCCCTTGACCGGAATCGAACCCGGGACCCTTGAGTCCGCAGGCAGACGCTCTATCCACTGAGCCAAACCGGTTATGGTGGTGCCGTTTATTTTTAAATGGCCAGTGTGCATCATGGCAGCTACTGTGTTGAGTGTCTGCCCCCTGGTGGTCAGTGCACATCATAGCAACTGGTTGGATGGACACACACTTAGCCTTTTATATATATAGACTAGAGGCCCAGTGCATGAAATTCATGCATGGGTAGGGTCCCCAGGCCTAGCCAACAATAAGGGCCAATCTGTGAGGCTACTGGTGGGGTGATTGGGGCCACCATTCACACCCGCCTTGGCCTGGTGCCACCCGCTTGCCAACCCCGCCCCCCCCTGCCACCGCTGGGCACCTCCCTCTGTGGAGCAACCTACAGGACAATCGAGGGCCCCCGCTCGCACCTGCCTTGGCTGGCCTGACACCGCCCACTCACCAGCCCTGCCCTTCACCACTGCCGGTTGGGGCCTGTGGGCTGGGGGCAGCTCCTGCGTTGAGTGTCTGCCCCCTGGTGGTGAGTGCATGTCATAGCAACGAGTCATTTGGCCAGTCATTCTGCCGTTCGGCTGATTTGCATATTAGCCTTTTATTATATAGAACTAGAGGCCCGGTGCACAAAAATTTGTGCACTCGGTGAGGGAGCGGGGGTCCCTCAGCCCGGCCTGTGCCCTCTCGCAGTCTGGGACCCCTCGGGAGATAACGACTTGCTGGCTTAGGCCTGTTCCCGGGTGGCAGAGGGCAGGCCCAATCCCTAGGTGCAGCCCCTGGTCGGGCTCAGAGCAGGGCCGATTGGGGAGTTGGGGCGCCGCCCCCTGTCATTCACAGAGCAGGGTGGATCGGGAGGTTGCGATGCCACCCTCAGTCATGCTCAGGGTACGGCCGATTGGGGGGTTGGGGCACTGCCCCCTGTCACACTCAAGGCAGGGTCAATAGGGAAGTTGCGGCGCCACCCCGTCACGCACAGAGCAGGGCGGATCAGGGGGTTGGGGCGCTGCCCCCTGTCATGCACAGAGCAGGGCCCATCAGGGGGTTGAGGAGTTCCCCCTGTCACGCACAGAGTAGGGCCAATAGGGGGGTTGGGGCACCGCCCCCTGTCACACACAGAGCAGGGTTGATCAGGGGTTGGGGAGCTACCCCTGTCATGCACAGAGCAGGGCCGATCAGGGGGTTGAGGAGTTCCCCCTGTCACGCACAGAGTAGGGCCAATAGGGGAGTTGGGGCACTGCCCCCTGTCACACACAGAGCAGGGTTGATCAGGGGGTTTGGGAGCTCCCCCTGTCACACACAGAGCAGGGCAGATCAGGGGGTTGGGGTGCCGCCCTCTATCACCCACAGAGCAGGGCTGATCAGGGGGTTAGGGTGCTGCACCCTGTCACACACAGAGCAGGGCCAATCAGGGGGTTTGGGCGCTGCCCCCTGTCACACTGATCCTGGTGCCGGGAGGCCTCTTGGCTCTGCTGATCCCGGTGCTGGGAGGCATATTACCCTTTTACTATATAGAATAGAGGCCTGGTGCATGGGTGGGGCTGGCTGGTTTGCCCTGAAGGGTGTCCTGGATCAGGGTGGGGGTCCCCACTGGGGTGCCTGGCCAGTCTGGCTGAGGGGCTGAGGGCTGTTTTCAGGCTGATGGGTAACTGAAACTCCCAACCACTCCCTTTTTCTTTTTCTTTTTTTTAATTCTGAGCCAGCTTTAGCTCTGAGGCCTCGGCTGCTGAAAACAGGTTTCTGGCCTTTGTTTACCGTCTGTATTTGATACAATGTTGCGGTCCTGCTGGCTGAAGCCCGGGGTTTTGTTTAGCTTCTATATTTGCAACATAGTTGCTTAGAGTTGCAGCTGAGAGGCCGGCAAGTCAGGCGGGGAACGTTGGAGTCCTCCGTCACTGAAGCAAGCAAGCCTTCCTGTTCGCATCAGCTGCCTGGCTGCCGGCCGCCATCTTGGCTGGGAGTTAATTTGCATATCTCCCTGATTAGCCAATGGGAAGGGTAGTGGTCGTACACCAATTACCATCTTTCTCTTTTATTAGGATTATATTAGGTGTACAGCATAGTGGTTAGACATTTATCTTAAAAAGTGATCCTGCAATAAATATAATAACCATCTGGCACCATACTTATTGACTATATTCCCTATGCTATACTTTACATCCTGTGGTTTTTTTTTTTTTTTTATAACTGTCAATTTGTACATTTTAATCCCTTTCCCTTTTCACACACACCCCGCCCCCCAACCCCTCTCTCATCTGGCAACCATCAAGTTCCTCTCTTTATCAGAGTTTGTTTTTTAGATTCCACATGTTAAGTACAACCATATGGTATTTGTGTTTCTCTGTATGATTATTTCACTTAACATAATACTCTCTGGTCTATGTTGTCACAAATGGCAAGATTTCACTTTTTTATGGCTGAGTAATATTCCATTCGCCTATTGAAGGATACTTAGGTTATTGTAAATAATTCTGCAATGAATATAGGAGTGCATATGTCTTTTCAAAGGAGTATTTTGGAATTCTTCAGGTAAATACCCAGAAGTGGAATTGCTGGTCATGTTAGCTCTATTTTTAATGTTCTGAGGAATCTTCCTACTCTTTTCCAGTGGCTGCACTAATTTACATTCCCAACACTGCATAAGGGTTCCCTTTTCTCCACAATTTCAACAATGCTTGCTTTTGTTGATTTATTTATGATAGCCATTCTGAGAGGTGAAGTGATATCTCCTTAAACTCCTTTTCTTTCTTTAAAAATATATTTTATTGATTTTTTACAGAGAGGAAGGGAGACAGATAGAGAGTTAGAAACATCGTGAGAGAGAAACATCGATCAGCTGCCTCCTGCACATCTCCCACTGGGGATGTGCCCGCAACCCAGGTACATGCCCCTGACCGGAATCGAACCTGGGACCTTTCAGTCCGCAGGCCGACGCTCTATCCACTGAGCCAAACCGGTTTCGGCTAAACTCCTTTTCTTAACAATATCGCTTTGATAGGTGAGAATTATTAAGTCGATCTGATTTTTTTCCTTTGTAAACTTTTTTCTTCTTTATTTGCAGTCACCAAAAGGTGCCATAAAGTAGGACCTTTTTTCTTTCTTTCTTTCTCTTTCGTCTCCTTCCTTCCTTCCTTCCTTCCTTCCTTCCTTCCTTCCTTCCTTCCTTCCTTCCTTCCTTCCTTCCTTCCTTCCTTCCTTCCTTCCTTCCTTTTTTTTCCCTTGCTTTCTTTCTTGGTCTTTCATTTTGGAACTTTAATAGATATTCTCACTCATTAATCAGAAAATACTGTGCGGGCATCTACTTTGTGCCAGTCACCTGTGCCAGGTGTTGAATAGTGATTAAGACACAGTCTTGGCACCTGGGGGCAGAGCGCTCTCGTGGGTAACAAGTTAACAAGTTTGCCGAGGCGATGGTGGCCTCCTGGACTGCATGCAGCAGACCAAGGAGGCAGCGGAGAAGGGCGAGCCCGCCCTCTGCACACCATCCACGTGGGGGACGGCCTGATGGAGCCCGGGAGCCGGTGAGCTCTACTCCATCAGAACCCGCCTGAACACGGAGGAGCGTGGACAAAGGCGCTCAGGCTCATGCTTACACATTGTAAGTGCAGTCTCGCTGGGGTCTCTTCAAGTCCCGGAGCTGCGCCCCGCCAGGAGTGCTGCGGCCACCTTTTCACCAGGCTGAGGGCCTTGGTGGCAGCAGCTCTGGACTTCATCCAGCTCTTCAACCAGGGACCGAGACTTGCAGCGCTGCGCCCGGTACGCCCATCTCCCAGATGTTCAGCGGTGAGGATGTGCTCTATGAGGGGGGCGTCCACTGTGTACCCCGCGCTCATCAACAAGGCCGCCTCCCACGAGAAGGGCATTCTCCGTGCCCGCCCTGACCCCTCTGGCCTCCGCCCCCACCCCACCCCCACCCGGCTCCCTAACCCAGGCCACACCTGCCCTGCTCAGCCCTCCCTCCCGCCTGAGGCACAATCCCCAGCACAAGGACCCCTTGGCCACCTGCTATATATCATGACCCTTGCCGCATACCCCACCCCATGCCTCAGTTTCCCATTCTATGAAGTGGAAGATGTCCAGGGAATCTAAAAATAGAAAGAAAGAAAAGGAGAGGAGAAGAGGGGAGGGGAGGGGGAGGGAGGGGAGGGGAGGGGAAGGGAAGGGGATGGGTTAGGGAGGAAGAGAGAAGAGAAGCTGAAAAGATGGGCAGAGGCCTTGGTATCAGATTAAGATGCTAAGACCTTATCTTAAGGCAGCGGTTCTCAACCTGTGGGTCTCGACCTCTTTGGCGATCGAATGACCCTTTCACAGGGGACGCCTAAGACCATCCTGCATATCAGATATTTACATTATGATTCATAACAGTAGCAACATTACAGTTATGAAGTAGCAACGAAAATAATTTTATGGTTGGGTCACAACATGAGGAACTGTATTTAAAGGGCCAGAAGGTTGAGAACCACTGTAAGATAAGGGTATTAAACATTTTGAGGGAGGTACCATGATCAGATTTTAGGTTTAGGAAGATTACTCTCATCTCTTCTCGGCCTTTTGGCTAAGATCAAGTGTAGAAAGATTACTCTTAAGATATGCCTTAGCACTAGCTGGTTTGGCTCTGTGGACTGAAGGGTCCAGGGTTCGATTCTGGTCAAGGGCATGCAGGAGGCAGCCGATCAATGATTCTCTCTCATCATTGATGTTTCTATCTCTCCCTCTCCCTTCCTCTCTGAAATCAATAAAGAGATATTTTTTTAAAATATATGCCTTAAAAATGTTAAAGAATGTGAGATGATTGGATTTTCCACTAAGACTCCCTTATCTAAAACAGCTAAGGGAAGGTAAGGTTTGAGGCGGAGAGAGATGAGATATGCATTTTAAAACTCACTCCCCTATGGGACCTTACAAAGTATAAATGGAGAAGTAACAGGGGAGCCAGAGGAAACTTAGAGTCAACGGTGAAAGTCAAAACCTCCACCATGTCCTCCATCCGCTTCATGTGCCATTTCTGCCGCGGGCCCCTGAAGCGGACTAGTTCCTCGGAGACCTTGGGCCTTGACCTCAGCCAAGAACCTGCAGCTTCGAAATTCCCCTCAGCCCAGGGGGAGCCAGGAGCAGCTCCGGAGGAAGGCTCTGCCTCCGGGATGGAGACAGACCTTGAAGAGCTGCAGGAGAGTGCCTCTGGCTGGACCACCCTTAGTGAGGACGAGATTTCCTGGTCCAGGCCCAGCAACTTCACCCTGCTCGGGGAGCTGGGCTCTGTGGGGACTCTCAGTAGCATCCACAGAGCCACGAGCGGTGTCTTTGACATCCTAGCCGGTGAAGAGCTGGGCCACCCCGTGTGCGAGGGCTGTACTGACAACCTTCTGGAGCAGCTGGACACCCAGCTCAGGGCCTCAGAATCTGACATTCAGGACTACCAGCGCTGTTTGGAGACCAGGGATGGATTAAGTGAGGACGAGAGGGAGACACTGCAGGAGGAGCTGAAGGCCGTGGAGCTGGAGGAAGCGAGGCTGGTCCAGGAGCTGGAGGAGGTGGAGAAGAACCGAGAACAGGGAGCTGTGGCTCTGGAGGCAGCCCGGGCAGAGACGGAGACGCTGGAGCAGCAGGAAAGGCAGTACTACAGGGACCTCAGTGAGCTGCAACGGCAGCAACTGGAACTGCAGGATGAGCTGTGCAGCGTGGAGGACCGGCTGCTGTACGCCCAGACCCAGCTCACCCGGCTGAAGAGAACCAACGCCTTCAAGGCCGCGTTTGAGATCTGCTGTGATGGCCCCCTGGCCATCATCAATAGTTTCAGGTTGGGCTGCAACCCCACTGTCCCCTGGAGCTGGAGTGAGATCAACGCAGCCTGGGGGCACACGGCCTTGCTGCTCCTGGCCCTGTCTAACACAGTCGGCCTGCAGTTTCAGAGGTACCGGCTCAGCCCGTGCGGAGACCACTCCTATCTGAAGTCCTTAACAGACGCCTCCGTGGAGCTGCCTTTGTTCTGCACGTCGTGGCAGAGCGCTCTGGTGGATAACAAGTTTGACGAGGCGATGGTGGCCTTCCTGGACTGCATGCAGCAGTTCAAGGAGGCAGCGGAGAAGGGGGAGCCCGCCCTCTGCATGCCCTACACCATCCACGTGGGGGACGGCCTGATGGGAGACCCGGGAGCCGGTGAGTTCTACTCCATCAGAACCCGCCTGAACACGGAGGAGCGGTGGACAAAGGCACTCAAACTCATGCTTACAAATTTTAAGTGGAGTCTCGCTTGGGTCTCCTTAAGGTATCCTCACAAGTAAGTTTATTTGAACATTATGCTAAGTGAAATACGCCAGTCAGAGAAAGAACAAACGATAAAAACACACTGTAGAACAGGCAGACAGCTCTGATGGGGGAGGGAGGTATGAAAAAGGGAGAGGGGTGGAGGGCTTTAATAGGGGGGTTCTATAATCTGATAGAGCACCTGAATTAACCTGAAAAATAATCATATTTTAAATCTTAGAACACATATACTTATGTGACGAGGGGGCTAAGTTTCTTATATGTGAACAGGGGGTTACATTTTAAGTTTCCTTTTCAAGGCCTGTGTGAAGCGATTAAGGAGGTGAGTCAGCTGTGAATCCAGCAAGCAGAACTGATAAGCAGGGTGAGACCGACCCACCTGGAGTCAAAACATCATCTCATCAACATCATCTCATCAACATCATCTCATCACCTGATGATTAAGGACAACAGCTGACACCCGCGGACCTCCAGGGCTGCCTCACCCAGCCCCTTCCCTTCATAATCCTGTCCCCTACGCCTTACTGGGAAGACAGGATTTGAATGTTTGTAAGTGCCCTGTCTTCTTGGTTGACTGGCCTTCTCAATAAACGCCTTATGTGAATCAACCCTGCCTTCATTATAGGACACAGCCACAGGCAGCCCGAGCCCAACCAGGGGTTTCCCCCAACAGATTGAGCAAAAAAAGAGAAATCACGGGCACTGACAACAGTGTGGTGATTGCGTGTGGGGGAGGTGGAGGTGTAAGAGGGTATGAGGGGATAAATGGTGATGGAAAATAACAAAATAAAATAAAGGAAAAAAAAGCTCTGCTGGTGTGGTTCAGTGGTTGAGCACTGACTTATGATTCAGGTCACGGTTTGATTCCCTTTCAGGGCACATGCCCCGGTTGTGGGCTCCATTCCCAGTTTGGGGCGTGCAGGAGGCAGTCAATCAATGATTCTCTCTCATCATTGATGTTTCCATTAAGAAACATTCCATTAAGAATGGAAACATCAATGATGAGAGAGAATCATTGATCAGCTGCCTCCTGCACGCCCGCCTAGTGGGGATGGAGCCTGCAACCCAGGCATGTGCCCTGACGGGGAATGGAACCGTGACCTCCTGGATCATAGCTCAATGCTGGCCAGGCTCATCATTGATATTTCTCTTTCTCCCTCCCTCTCTGAAATCAATAAACATATATTTTAAAATAAAATAACTTAAAAGTCTTTATATATTTTACATCCTGTCAATCACTTGGATTTATTGTCCTTCCAATTCATTCCACATATTTTCCATTATTTTGACTTTCTTACACATGCACTTGTATGATTGAGCCCTCGAATGGTGACTTTACTTGAATTCTCTTGATGTTTTAGTTTCACATTTATGCGTATGCCTACTTCTTACACTCCCCCCCATCTGAATTTCATTTAAAAGTGCCTTCAAATGTTGAGATACATATGGAACAGACTTAAACAATTTGACACACATTGAACTCAACTACCTATCTCTTAAACTTGTGCTTATTTTAACTATACTAAATTGGAAGAAGTTACACAAATTCCTTTGCAAAGAGAAGTTACATAAATTCCTTTGCAGAGAGAAAAATCACTTAGAATGTTCTCTATGACCTCCTGGTTCATAGCTCTAAGCCTCTTCTAATAACTAGCTCATTGGAACTTCCAAGGAAAGAAGGTAGCATGGAGAGCCGTGACTTGAGTTCGGCACTGCGCCTTCACAACAATATGAAGTACTGTCAGAGCGACTTGCTCAATTAGCTGGTCACTCATGGAGTAAGTGGCAGAGCAAGAGAGTCCAACTCTGTCCAGCTCCATTTTACAGTGTATTTGCAATGGCAGAATTGGAAGGCACATGAGGTGTTGTAGAATATAGATAGCATCAGCACTTGCTTTTTATTGTCAGATAACATTCTATTGTGTGGATACACCATATTGCATTTACCCATTAATCTGTTGGACACTTGTTTCCACTTTTTGGCTATTATCAATAATGCTGCTATGGGCATTCATGTACAGGATTTGGTGTAGACATTTAGGGCTGGGCAAAAAGTAGATTGACAACTGTGAGTACACAAAATAGAGTTTATTATTGTTTACTATTGCATTATTTTATATTACAACTGTAGAACTGCCGGGAGCCGGTCCATCCTTGCTGCTTGACACAGTCGCTGCAGGGAAGAAACATCTGCACAGCATATGTTTCAAGGGACCTGGCATATATGGCATACTGTTCTTAATATGTTTGCTCACCTTCTTGGCGCTATGTGTTTTAACCCCAAGGTCACCTCTCCGAGAAAGGTTGTTTCCCCAGGTAGGGATTTTCCCCTGAAGTTGGGGAGGGAAAAAAACCCCTTAACTAAGTGCCAGGCGGGTAGTTAATCACAATCATGCTTAAGTACATAATCTTATCCTGGCTACAGAACCTGGATAGAACATGGCAAGAGAACCTGACTAGAACCTGGCGACAGAACCTGGCCGGAGAACCTTGCTATGATGATCACCTGAACGCTGCCTCTGTGTCATTCCTTCTTCGCCGACTCCGTCCACACCTTTGGGGACCCCTGGACCTGCTGGGGTTGGACCCCAGCATAAAACTACTTTTGCTCACCCCAGTATTTTCTTTCTTTTTTTTTTTAGAGGACGAGAGAGCAATAAACATGGATGTGAGGAACACTGAATCCATTGGTTACCTCCCGTATGTGCCCTGTCCGGAAATTGAACCCACGACTTTTTGGTGTATGAGACGATACTCTAACCAAGCCACATTGGTCAGGGCATTAACCCTGCACTTTCAACTCTAGGGCAGCAGTCGCCAACCAGTGGTCCGTGAGGTCCAAAAGGTTGGCGACTGCTGCTCTAGGGTATGTAACCAGGAGAAAAATTGCCGTCCTCTGGTAACTGTCTAATCTTTCAAGGAACTGCCAGACTGTAGTTGGCTACACCACTTAAATTCCCTCCAGCAATGTATGACAGTTCCAATTTCTCCACATCCTTGTCAATACATATATGTTTTGATTCTGGTTATTCAAGTGGGTGTGAAGTGGTATTACATTGCAGTTTTGATTTGCATTTCCCTCAGTGCTAATGATGCAGTTTTTCTGTCTTCTTTGGAGAAATGTCTATTCAGATACTTTGCTCAGCTTTAAATTGGGTTGTCTTTTTATTGGTAAGTTGTAAGTTCTTTATACAAGTCTTTCATCAGATATATTACTTGCAAAAATTCTCATTCTGAGAGGTGTCTTTTCATTGTTGGTATAATGTGAAGCACAAAATTTAAATACTTTGATGTTCAATTTTTCCCTGGGTTGCTTTTGTTGGTGGTGTCATATCTAAGAAACCACCAAGATTTACCCCCATATTTTTCTAAAAGTTTTGGCTCTTACACTCAAATTTTTTATCCACTTTGAGTTACTTTTTGTATATGGTATGAAGCAGGCGTTCAACTTCACTTTTTGCATGTGGATATGTAAAGAGCACAATTTTTTAAAAAGATTACTTTTTTCCCATTGAGTTGTTTTGGCACCTTTGTCAAAAGTCAATTAACCATAAATTTCTGGACTCTTTAATTCTATCTTATTGATCTATATCAGCAGTTCTCAACCTGTGGGTCGCAGCCTCTTTGGGGGTCGAACGACCCTTTCACAGGCGTCGCCTAAGACCATCGGAAAACATATATAATTACATATTGTTTTTGCAATTAATCACTATGCTTTAATTATGTTCAATTTGTAACAATGAAATTGGGGTCATCACAACATGAGGAACTGTATTAAAGGGTCACGGCATTAGGAAGGTTGAGAACCACTGATCTATATGCTTTAACACACTTCATACAGGCACTCTGTATTTTAATAGCCTTTTCAGATAACTGTAGATATTATTTGCAAAAACACCAAAACTGGACAATAATAGTTTTCTAAAGATCAACCGCAGTGCAGAATCTGAAAACCTATAAACTCACCCTACTCTGCTCTCTGCTAGGTTTTTCACTCATGCATCATTTTATTTATTTATTTACGTACTTACTTATTTAGCTAATCCTCACCAGCAGATATTTTTCCATTAATTTTTAGAGAGAGTGGGAGCGAGGGACGGAGATATAGTGTGAGAGAAAAAGAGAGAGAGAGTGAGAGCGAGCACCAGTGACTAATTAATAAATCTAGGCAACGGCCATCAAAAAGACAAGCAGACCTTTCTTAGTGGGCGTATACACCACCACCAGAGAGCATTCTTGTCAAAATATAATCTTGACTCTGACTACGCCTGTACACTTATGGCATAGATAGGAAACAGAAACATGTACGACGACACCTCAGGGAACTCAGCAAAACTCTGAATGTGGGAAAGTTTTTAACAAATAAGTTGGTTCTTCAAAAAATAAATTGGGGGGAAAGATGGGAGGAGAAACCTATATATTAGAAGAGATTTTAAAGACAAATCAAGCAACTGCAATGTATGAATCTTATCTGGGTCCTGACTCAAGCAAACTGCAAAAAAATTTTGTTTGAGAATGATTACATTATCTGATGACATTTAAAAAACATTATTTTTCAGATGTAAAGATGCTGGTTTTTATGTTTTAGAAACATATACTATGACACTTATAGTGAAAGTAAAGTTCCGTAATGCAGGATTGCATAGAAATTCCAAAGGAAAGAAAGCATGCCCCACAACAATGAGGATATGCATCGTTAGATTTCATCCTCGTAGGAAGATCACAGAGTGCACTTACACAAACCTTGATGGCACAGCCTACTGCACACCTCGACGATACGGCACAGCCTACTGCACACCTCAACGATATGGCACAGCCTACTCCACACCTAGACGATATGGCACAGCCTACTGCACACCTCGACGATATGGCACAGCCTACTGCACACCTCGACGATACGGCACAGCCTACTGCACACCTCAACGATATGGCACAGCCTACTGCACACCTCAACGATATGGCACAGCCTACTCCACACCTAGACGATATGGCACAGCCTACTGCACACCTAGACGATATGGCACAGCCTACTGCACGCCTCGACGATATGGCACAGCCTACTCCACACCTAGACG